CAGAACAATATCTTTGAAGGCTAGTGTGTCAGGTTGTATTAGTGTAGGTGGTAATGTCTGCCTTCCTCATAGATGCCCTCCGATTGTGAGAACGGTACAAAGCAGTACGCCCACATGCCCGGCGTCTAGGACCACCTTTTTGCACCTGCGAATCCTCAAATGGGTACCTCAAGTTTCCCTAAAAATATCTTGAACGAATACTTTTAAATTCTTATTGTTGAGATGAATGGATGCTGTTCACAACGGAATCTCACTGTGAGCATCCAATCCTTCATAAATGCCACTTTGATTTATTATGGGCAGTCAAGTTAAAACGTCAGGATTACCGGCAGTACGATTCTTTGAGGAAGGGAAATAAAAAGGGGCCGTTGGTCGGGAAAGAAGTTGGATGAGCTGAGAGGAACACTCGCAGCTAACACTGCAACTTTACGCCCGAACGTTGGATCTCAGGCAAGCGCATAGGTCTGCAAATTCTGTCAAAATCTGACTCACAAAAGTCCTGTGGCCGTTCTTCAAATAAAACCGAGGAGAGAACAAGACAAATTAAGGAAAACAAACAACGACAGTAAAACAAACGATATAACCAATACATCTATGCTCCATCGAATTTCACTAAACTTGTTCTGAGAATCTGAAGCTGATCTCTACCATGTACTGTTTCAAATTTTTAAACCAACCTTGTACCTTGTAAACTTACGCCTTTCCAAATTCGCTACAAAACGGATTNNNGAACAAGACAAATTAAGGAAAACAAACAACGACAGTAAAACAAACGATATAACCAATACATCTATGCTCCATCAAGTTTCACTAAAGTTGTTCTGATAATCTGAAACTGATCTCTTCCATGGAATAGTTTCAAATTTTTGTTCTAACCTTGTACCTTGTAAACTTACGCCTTTCCAAATTCGCTACAAAACGGATTCAAAAAGTTTCAATTGAGAAATTGACGGAAGATAGCTTTCGATTTCAAATGCGGCAACTTGGGCTGAAGTTTGCTGTTTTCTAGGATAGGGTCGAACAGCCAGGATTGTCTGCAAACATGAGTGCGTGTGTTAGTCCTTGTAGGAAAAACACAGTCCTATCCCAAGCCCAAGGAAGGACGGAAAAGTGTTCTTCGAACACCATCAGCATAAAAGCGTGATCTGGCATCGTGCGTGAAACAGAGGCTCTTATTGCTCGTTTAAGCGAAGTGGTCCCTTCATAAGAGCCTTAAGAACTCTTGTTCCATGCACTGTGCAGATCTTCCTTTTGTACAAGGCAGGTGCCACTGAAGAACCCTTCCCCGCTGTTTTTGCCTGCATGGAATGCGACCGTACTTCTTTTCAGGGGCGCTAGCACTTACTTTCGTCTTCTCGTCCAATTTCCGGTCCACATAGAGTTCGCTTCTGTGTCCAACTGGCACTGGAAAAAGCTTTTCATGATCTCTGACATTTTCAACGCGGTAGAGAACCTATTATCTCGAAAAGCATAGATCTGAAGCGCTAAATGTAACGAGGCACACTCATTCACTCCTCACTTTACTTCCGCTTCGGCGTTTATTACACTTTATGAAGATCCCCGTATAACCTAATCAGTACCTATCACCGGTTCCCAAGCCTATATTCAACGCCTGCCGTCATAATCGGCCTCCATCATCATCGTCCGTCGTCCTTAATTCATTCCTCTCCTTCCCCAGTCGTCCGGGTTGGATGTTAATCTTTAGGCTGTCGGGGAAAACTGTCCAATAAAGCGACCCGTCCATGGTCTNCTTGCGATACCTCTTGGAATATCCTGAAGATGGCTTAGAAAATAAAATTATCAAATATTATTGCAAAAAAACACACGTCAAAACTCAAATGTACTTTGACGACCTGGAAAAGACCGTTAGCCGAATAGATCTGCACCATTTTGGTTGTGGCTCCATAAATATGTTTGAGTCAACAATCCAACAGTCTTACTGTTTCTATTTTGGGTACACAGACGTCAGAGT